TCCAGCAGAAAGATCCCACGCCTCCATGCCTTGGCTCAAGCCCTTCCCTCTGCCTGGGCTGCCAGACCCAGCTCTTATCACTACCTCCTTCCACCTCTACCCTCCCACCTCACTTGGATTGCCCAAACCGGAAGCCTTCACCCCTCCTCTGAGCTCCTGGGATTGAGCCACTCATCCCCATGCACCTACCACTGACCACTCGAGTCCATGCCTGTCTCCTTTCTTCATAGATATTCCTGAAGGCAGTGACAGTATCTGCCTAGTTTTCATGATCAAGTCTCCACCACAACAGGGCAGGGCAAGGGCACCAGGCCTGGCTGAACAAATGCATTGCAGAGCCTGAGAACCACCTGCTCCACTGTCCTGGTTTGGCCACCCACCTCCAGGTGGGCAGGGGCCCCAGAGGGAGTGGCCAGACAACTCAACAGTACATAATATCAAGTGAAGGCCCAAATAGGCCCTTTGCTCCCCAATGACAATACTCTCATACACATGTGCAAAGCATGGTCTTCTACCTGAGACTCACATCAGTGTTGTGTGTCCTATTTTACAGTGAAGGCACCGTGGCCCTCAAGAGGCTAAGCATCTTGACTCAGGCACCTGAGTCAGCCTGACTGGGAGCTCAGCACCCTTCTCACCAAATCGGCAGGCTCTACGTGCCTGGGGCCCTCAAGCCTGGGATTAAGACACAAGGAAGAGGGTAAGACTGGGCTGTTGGGTAGGGCTTTGGACAGAGGGGTTGGCCTGGGGACACCAGAGACATTGTTGGTGCAGGAAGGAACCTGAGGCCCAGATGGTATGGAGAAGGCCAAGACCAGAATCTGACCGTGAGAGAGGGGCCATGCAAGATGAAAAGGGGCATTGGGACTGAACAGTGAGCGCACACCAGGCTGGCACTGATAAAGGAAGCTGCCAGATCCTTTCCTATTCAGGGCTGGTCTCCGGGACTCCCTTCTTGGGCCTGGTCTTAGGTGTCTACTGGTGACGCAATGCAGTGAATCATGACACCTCCGAACTCACAGCTGACACAGACTCCAGGGGTGGCTTGAGCCAACCGCCCATCTGCAACTTGACTATCTTTATGGCATCTCTCAATGTGGGATGTCTTACCTCTGCCCAGATACCTCTAGGGATGGGCAACACATTGCCTCACAGGACAGCTTCATATTTAATCAGTGGGTTCAAAAACATCTCAAAAGGATTATGACTTTTTTGAGCCCCAGTTTTTCTACCTATTAAAAGGAAAGCTTGAACTGGGTCACTAGCTTCCCCACTGGATTCCACAGAGCCTTTGGGTTTTCAGGAGCTACCCTGAAGCTGCTTTTGGGATGAGAGAAGTAAAGGGGGGGACAGAGAGCAAGGCCCAGGCAATTCATGGGCATTTGGGTTGTGAAGTTCTGTGGAGAGCTTCACCTCCATCTTGAACCAGAACCTAATTCCTATGGGTGACACAAAGGTGAATCTATGGAGAGGGAAACTAAGGCAGACAGAGGGAATAGGTGAAAGGAGCCCCTGAGGAAACAGGTACACTTTTCCTCATCCTTCTTTGCAGCCACAGCCTGTGGGGCTGAGCTGAGTTCTCTGTTCACAAAAGCACACCTCCCCAAAGCCTCCTTCTGTCCACCTGATGCATGGAGTCAAGGAGGCAAGAACAAAACTTCATCAGTTAATCACAGGTCATGTCAGCCACCCCTGGGAAACGGGGGGGGGAGTGGGTTCTGAAAATCAAGCTGCAGCACCCCAGGGCCACACAGGCCCTGGACAGAATGTCCTGCACAGTAGCTGAAATAGGGCCTCAATAGTCAGCCCCACAATTCACTATCCAGCTACTTACTTAACCTCTCTGTGCCTCAGTTTTTGCATTAGTAAAAACGGGCAGCTACACTTTAAAGGGTGATGGTGAGGAGCACGTGCGTGGCTCAGTAGGTTAAGCATCTGACTTCGGCTCAGGCCATGATCTCATGGTTTGTGGGTTCAAGCCCCATGTTGAGCTCTGAGCTGACAGCTTGGAGTCTGGAGCCCGCTTTAGATTCTGTCTGTCTGTCTCTCTCCCTCCCCCACTTGTCTGTGCTCTCTCTCTCAAAAATAAGCAAACATGAAACATTTTTTAAAAATAAATAAAGGTTGATGGTGAGTACCCAACAAGAATTCACATCAAGTGCTCTAAAGAAGTACGAGAGCCTAGCAGCTACCTCCGCAAATAGGTAAAAACAGAGGCACAAAATGTGTTGCTGAAGCTCAAATGGCCACTTTGCAACCAAAAGTAGCTAGAAGTATGACCAACTGCCTGCTCTAAGGCTCGAAGGCTTTGCAGGGGAACCTGAGGCCCAAGGTCATTCAGGTGGCAAGCGGCCATCTCAGATCTGCTTGATTCCACGTGGGTTCCTTCTGTAGTACAGAGAGGTATGCTGTCTCAGGCAGAGAGGGCACGCTCTTCCCAGCAGCGTTAGTCTTATCTCCCAAAGGCACTCGTCCTATTCCTAGAAGTTGCATGCACACATAAATGTTACAGCATGCCATCCCATGATCCACTGCCCCCTTCTCCCCTGAGGAGCTGCTTCCTAGAATGTTTACACGGCGCTGGCTCTCCCCAGCCCCCTATCCCTTCCATCAGTCAGAGCGATGACGTTACACACAAAGAATTCTGAGTCAAAGGGAGCTGCAGCGAGGTCGTTACAGCCAGAAAATGTCCTGTTTAACCACCTATTTCCTTAGAAACCGAAAATGTGGGTAAATTTGGGCATAGCCTGTAAGCCAGGAAGAAAGCCCAGAGCAGCAAATACTAGCATGCCTCTTTGGAGACAGAATGCATGAGATCTTAACAGATCTCTAATTAAATCAAACTGCCCTGCCTTGGACTTGGCCGCCCTGGGTGTGTCTCATTAAAAAGCTAAAGTCCCACAGGACACTTCTATCCAGCTAAGCAGCTACTTGACACCGAGGTCCACGGATGTGCCCAGGAGGAACCGGCTCCATGCCAAAGACAGCAGTGTCCACAATGTCTGGATTCCCAGATGTCCCCTTCCACCCCGGTCCCATGCTCTGCAGATGTAGGTCTGAGCCCCTCACTTGTACTTTTGTGAACCCAGGGAAGCCATTTGTCCTCTTTCCCTCACTTGTAAAGTGAGACACCACTTCCTCTGCAGGGACATAGTGAGGCTTAAAAGTATGTATGTCAAAGGGCCCAGTGCAGAGCTTGGAGTCTGGTGGGGGCTCGAGCCTCAGATGGCTCCTGCCATTTCCTTGTGTCCCGGATACCCCAGCGTCAAGCACAAACATACACTTCCTCCAGGACTCCACCCCACAGGCTGCCCTGCCAAGCACAGGCCACACTTCTGCCACCAACTTACTATGTATCTTCAGGCAAGTATCTCTCCCTCTGTAGCCTCAGTTTTGCCATCTATAAAATGAGGCTGTTGGGTTCCAGTGACCTTGAAGATCCTTTGCTGCCTGACCTCCGAATGTGGCAGTGTCCCAAAGGCTCTCCTGTAACCACCAGTCCTTTAACCCCAGGCCAACATGCCCCCAGTTGTCCCACAGAGCTGACAGTTTACCAAGCCCGGTGGAGGTGATGGCTTGTGGCAGTGAGTGGGAGTGGATATCACTACAGTCCTGGGGTGAGGAAGACTCCACCAGCAGACCTGCTTCCCTGAGTCGTTGGAGAGCAGGCTACCCCTTCATCAGGTGTCAGTCGCAGCTCTCTGCCTCCTGCAGCCACTCTGCCAGGAGAGAGCAAGAGAGAGCAGGAGAGAGCAGGGGGCCCTAGAGAAGTCTGGCCTAGTCACTCCCTGCCTCAGCTTTTTGCAAAGTGGCCACACATTCTGGAGGCCACACTGGCAGCCAGAGAATCAGTACCCAGGAACGGGAGAGCACGAGGCAGAGTCTTAGAGGCAGGGTCTGGATTTATACCCATATCTTTCAGCAATTGTCATATGCCATCTCCTCAGCCCTATGAGCGACACTTGGCATGGACACTGCATACCCTAAGTGCTCATTGTTGCTTCCTTTCCCTTCCTTCTTCCAGTTCAAGAGGAATCAAAAGAACGTGTGCAAAGGCATGAACACCAAGAAAACAATAAGAGGGCCACTTGAGAAAGTGGCATCTATATCCCAAGTCCCAAGACACACAGGGCACCAATTCACTAGGTCTCAAAAGTCAGAGTGGTTCCCAACCTGCTCCTGGCCAACCCCCTGCACTCTGGTCCCACGTGTTGCCCTGTTCGCGTTCCTGCCTTGTGTGGGGTCAGAGGGGCCAACCCACATGACTGTTCTTTTGTCTCTGGACCATCCTGCTGAGCCAGGAGGACCCACATGGGTAGTTTCTCCTCGCTGCCTGCTCATGCCAAGGGTCTGTCTGAGATGGCAGATACCTCATAACCATTCAACCCTTAAAGATGCCCTAAGCAGGATAACTACACACATGAACACTTTCTTCTGGGCCCCACACAACTACTTGGACAAAGTTTTGTCATCTGGGGCCAATAGGAAAACAGCCACAGGGGGGAAAGTCTTTGTATTTTCTATAAACCTGCCATGCAGACCAGGGGACTTGTTGCTGCTTCCAGCCAAAGACTTCCTGGTATGAGGCTAGGGATAACTTTGTCCCCAACGATCTAACCCCCTTCTTCTACTAAGTATTGAAAGTAAGGTGACCCAGCTTGCTTCTTTGATTGCCCTGGCTGCTAGGAAGCTCCAGGCTACGTTTTCTATCTCAAGTGCTGTAGTTTTGTTCAGCAGAAATTCCCGATGTATTTTTTAGTTCTTACCTTGGGTAAGTGTACTTGGTGCCCTATATTGGGACTTTCACGGTGCCTTGCCAGGTTCTTCCAGATGTAGGTGAGACATGAGCTGGCAAACTGTAGTAAAGATTCAACATAGCACTATTCTCTAGCCACCATGGTGGAAGCATGAACCTTCTCCTATGGAGGGCTGGCTGGGCACCGCCCAGGAGCTGCCCCCCTGCCTCCCTGCTGAGTCCCCATGCCAGCAGCTCTGCTTACCTGTCATGATCCTCTGGGCCTCATAGGGCTCCATGTAGCCAGCACTCTCTCCCTTTCCTGCTTTGTTCTTGAGATCATTCTTGGCATCGAAGGGATCAGAATAGTCATCAGCGATGGCCACCTGCAGGGAGTAAGATGGCAGGAACATGAGTCCACCTCTGGCTTTCTGCTTCACTTCTGTTCACAACCAGGCTTTGCTCTAACACACATAAACGGAGCCTGCATCATACCAGCAAGGAAGGGGGGAGGTGGAGACAGGAACGAGCTGGTGTCTGCCCTTGGGGAGCTCCAATTTTGGTACCCCTAACAAAGAGACCCACACTGGCAGTACTCCTTACAAGGGAGGGGCCTCTGAGCAGGCAGCCTCACTACTCCGGGCACAGCTGTGAGAACAGAAGGGCATCTGCGTAGAGAAGCACAAAGGCAAGGTCCTGGAGGGCGTCTTTGGGGAATGTGAGTTGCTCAATTTAATGGAATGGAAGCGGAGGAAAGTTGGAAATGAGATAGCAGAAAGCCTAGAGATGCTGACATGCTCCTGGTGCTGGCTGAGGCCTAGAAGAGCCTGTCTAGAGATAATTACGTTCAGCGTTCCATTTTCCCCAAATCTGGAACACAAGCATGCCTTGGGTAATCAGACAACAATTTGGTGAGATCAACGCACTGCAAACATGACCGTGGCCCCAGGCGGACCCAAAGAAAATACAAAAGCAGCTCAAGGACCCAGAGACTGCCATGGTCAGAAAGGGGCTTGGAAGCAATAAACTGGGAGACTCTTCTATAACAGACGGGGAAACTGAGGTCCAGTAAGGGAAGGGGCTTGACTAAGACCCTTGACCTCATCCTCTGCCTCCCAGGTCTGTTCTCTTGGCTCCTCACTTGTCAGCATTTCAGAAAACATAAATGTTCCATCACAGACAGACAGACAAAATCACCTTGGGGTAGGCAGTGGGGGCAGGGAAGAGAGTCCTAGGAGCACATGAGAATCTGGGATTTGAACACTTCAGAGACAAAGTTCCATATTTTCCCCAGAGGAGGGTAAAAATTCTTGGGCTAAAAGTAAGCATAGCCGTTTTCCCTCCTATTTCTTACTTTCTAAGCTTCATGGAGGGGCACACTTACTAGCGAGGAAACCCACTCCCTGTCACAGCACTCTAGCCCCACTGCAAACTCGCTGTGACCTCCGTGGAGTTCTTTGCCCCTTTGGTCACATCTGGCAAAGGGTGAGTCCTCAGCCTCCCAGCCAGGGCCACCCAGCTGCCTCTGGGGAGGGGATAAGTTAGCATTTCTCTCAACCCTTGGGGTTACATGAATTGTTATTTAAATTGTGGGTTTAATTAGAAACCACAGGAGCCTCTTCTCTCTCCCGGCTCCTGGAATGTAAGGCATTTGAGGGGCCTATAAACCCAGGGGAAGGGAAAATCCCCCTTTGTCTGCCTGGTAAATGGCAGCTTGTGGCAGCAGCCCTGGCAGAGTGAGCAAGTGACCTTTGGCTGCCAGGAATGTGATGCCCGCAGAGGGACAGCAGGCAACAGCACTGTCACTGGCGTGAGGCCGGGGGCTGAAGGGAGGCATGGCACACAGCAGTCACGGCTCCCTGAACAAGAGCAAGCTTATCAGTGAATGACCCAGGGCTGGAGCGCCTGACATCTGAGTATATGTGACCCCACTGCCACTGCTCTGCCACCACTTCGTTGTGGCTGTGGGGCAGGCTTAGAGTCCCAGCGGGGACACTTCCAGATGCTGACATTGTAATCGTGGCCTTCCTTTCTTGAGACTCCCTGGGCTCAAATGACACCAGGCAGGGGAAAGATGGGGGTGGGGAGAACACTGGGTCTGGCAATGTCTTTCATTTGATATTTCTACTCTACCATTTGCAGAATACATTAGGGAGAAAATTATACACGTGAACCACTGTCAAATAGAACAGCTCAGAGGCTGATCTGGTGGAGGGTATTTGTGTCTCAGAGTTCAAGGGACCAGAAGTCCAAATGCAGAAAACCATGAGCCTGCTGTGGATGACATCTATTCCACACGGCCTTGCTGTCTCTTTTAAACATGAACATCCTCCGTCTAGTCCAGAAAGGAAGCAAATATTTCCCTAAGAAAACCAAATCATTTTGGAGGTATTAGCTGAGGAAGGGGAAGACAGGGGAGGGGGTGGGCTGCAAGTCTCAGTAATCTAGAAATCAACATTCCAGCTCCTCTCGGAAGTGCCCTGTAATTTGCAAACGGGGAAGGCTTGCAGGATATAAACCAAATCTTTGTTCGCCCAGGGACAGGAGCTCTGGGAGGCCTTCAGTTCAGCAGACACTATCTGTATTTTCTAATTAAAATGAGATCTGAGCTCAGGTTGTCAAGGGGGCCCCCAGCTGCCTGCCCTGCTTACTTCCGTTTCAATAAGAATTTACAAATCCTAAAACCAGGAAAAGCCCCTGGTCTCTGCTGACATATGGTTCCAGTTATACCTGCTGACAGTTGAAAATCCTTCCATTAGAAAAAAAAAGTTTAGAATTCTGTTAGTTTAAGAAGCAAATCGGAAGGTTCCTAAAATGTATATTTAATCAATTTGCTTTCCAACTTCAAAGTGAGGATGGTGGAGGGGAGGGAATTTGAGGTTTGAGCAACCTGTAACTTGGCAAACACTTAACTGAGCTGTCTGACCTTTTGCAAAATCATGTCCTGGTTTTTGGAGTAAAAGTTTAACCAGGTGCTGGGAGAGCTGAGCAGGCAGTTACCCAGAGGGCCTGAGCGACTTGCCACAGGCCCTGGGCACCGTAACTGCTGTCTGAGCTGCCCACCACCATGTACTGCAAGTCGGGGGGGGGGGGGGGGGGGGGGGGGAGGGGGCTTGGGTGAAGGCTGCTGATTTTCTTTTAAAAAAAAGGGAAGGAGTTGCCCCAGATGTGGGCTTGGATTCCTACTGGGGCTGATGCTACTTTGCTTTAAAATGTCCTTGAATCTAATAGAACAATTCAACTCAAAGGGAGCCAGTCGGGACTTCTCTGCAGGTCAGGCCACCTGGGCACGTGAGAAGTTTTCCTTGATTTTGATCTTGGATTGGCAAAGGCCTGACTGGCATCGGACCCCTTCATGTGGCCTGCTCACGGTCCCACAGGCACAGAGCTGAGAGGGGGCCAACCTACTGGTCTCACACTGAGTAGCAGCAGAAAGGCTTGGCTGTTGGAGCCTGTCCAACCAGCAGGCCACATTCGCTTTCTTGGCCTCCCGGGATGGGTGTACTGGTCCATCTCCGAAAAAGGAAGAGGGTTATGGCTAAACCCTAGGCAAGGCTTTTCTTGCTTTCAAACAAAACTAGAGACCTCAGGTCAGCCCAGTGCCCCAAAGGACTTTCACAGGCTCATAAAGCAGCAGGGTCAAGGGGGTCCCTGAGAGACCTGCTTTAAACTCTCATTTTGTAATAGCCCACTGCAACCCAGAGCGTTTCAGAATCCCACCATGCTTGCTGCCTTTCTGACAAGGCTCTGTGAGCTGGTTGCAGACTGGCAGTTGGCTCCACATGCCTCTTTTCTGGTTTGCACACACTGCTATGTGAAACTGGTCCCTCCCTTCCAGTAGTCTGAGGCCTGGGTGTTTTTATCTTGGGAATTTTGCTTTGTGATAGGAAGTAGTCTTCCTGTTCACACCCAAAGGGAAACACTAGAGGAAGATGGGTGTTGCCACTTGACCACACATGGCCATATGCTTTGCTTAGACAGCCACACCTGTGGGGAGAGCTGGGTCCTCTCCCCAGGCTCTCAATGGATAGGTAAATTGGCAGAGCCTCTTTGAAGGGACAGCTATTGACAAAGCCCATGAAAATCCAAAACTGCACATGGATTGACCCAGCAATTTCACTTCTCGGCATTTATTCCCAAATGTGCACAAGGAGCTGGGCAAGAACACTCACAGGAGCACATAATAATGAGAAACTCTAAGCACTTGCAATAGCCATCAATAGGGGAATTGCTAAATAAACTGTGCTAGTTCCATACTATGAAATATTATGCAACAGGTTTTTTTTAAAAAAAGTAGTTGTTCGGGGCGCCTGGGAGGCTCAGTCGGTTAAGCGTCCAACTTCGGCTCAGGCCATGATCTCACGGTTCATGGGTTCGAGCCCCGCATCCGGCTCTGTGCTGACAGCTAGCTCAGAGCCTGGAGCCTGTTTCAGATTCTGTGTCACCCTCTCTCTCTGACCCTCCCCTCCTCATGCTGTCTCTCTCTCTCAGAAATAAAACATTGAAAAAATTTTTAAATAAAAAAATTTAAAAAGTAGTTGTTCTATATGCACTAACATAGTTCTCTATGATATAGCTTTGAATGGAAAGAAAGCAGGTTGTAGAATGATAAATATAACATGATACCTGCTTATGAAAAATGAAACAGAAAGCTCTGTTGATGTAAAGAAAAGATCCAGAGAGATATAAACTTTTTTTTTTAAAGATTTTATTTATTTATTTTTTAAGTAATCTGTATACCCAACCTGGGGCTTGAACTCACAACTCTGAGATCAAGAGTCATGTGCTCTACGGAATGAGCCAGCTGGGCATCCCCAGGGAGATATAAACTTTAAACAGATACCTCCTCTAGGGACAGGGAAGGCCTGAGATTGAGTGGTTAGAGGAAATCAAAGGAGATTTGTCTGTAACGTTAAAGTATTTTTCAAATAAGGAAAACTTATTAATGTGTTATATGCAAAATTCAACTTAAAAAAAAAAGCACTCTTTTCATAGGCTATTTTTGGTACAGTAGATAAACTGTTTCCCAAACTTGCCTGGAGATAGGAATGGCCTGGAATGCTTGTTAAAAAAAAACAGATCCCTAGCCCCAATAATCTTGTATATGTAATAAGTAACCCAGGTGATTCTTACCAGGAATGTTTGAGAGGCTTTAAGCTAGAGCCAGCCCCCTCCCCCACCAACTTAAAACTAAACCTCCAGATATTACTCTGGAATTTCACTTTCTCCAGGTATTTCTCAGCCCTGTTCATTAAACTGAGGCAAAAAGTCAATGTTAAATGCAGCTCTCTCTTGCTTTCTTCCCTGGGGATTAAGCAGAGTAAGAGATGACCCAACATGCCTTGGTCCATCTCCAAAATCTAAGACGTATAGGTAATGGCATTCC